GCGCACGCGGATCGCCCACGTGGCCCGTTCCCTGGTCAGCGTTGCCTTGCCACGCGGCGAGTCCTGGTTGGCCAGGGCTGCTGACCTTGCCGCTGACGTGGCTGCTGAGGTGGGTGCTGACGTGGCACAATTTTTCTAAATTGCGTTTTGACTCCCAGTTTCCGATTTTCTTTTTAAAACACCCTCATAATCCAAATTTTCACCTTTTTTGTCCAAAATCAATTTCAATTAAATCCAAATAATATTTTTACCCAATTTTATCATTATTATTATTTTTATTTTCATTAAATTAAATTAAATAAAAATCAAATAAATAAAAATAAAAAATAATAAAATAAAATTTTATTTTACTTGGGTATTACACTTACTAACCAGACCGAAAGAGTTTACATCATGCTGCTTAAAAGAAGAGGCAGCATCCAGCACATGATAGCAAGTGGCCTCCACTGAGATATACATTGGATCTCAAAACAGTTGCAAGTGTGTAAAGAAAATTTTTCAAATGTAATAACTTCTTGGGTACAGTCAGCAGTGATCCTTTTTTTGGTTATGGAAGAAACCCATCAGTAATCGGGAATTGAACCAATTATGTTAACACACTGTTAAACAGTGGAGAACACTAAATCACACAGGTTTGTGGTCAGTCATCAGTAACCTATAATTAAATAAAGTCACTGTTAGTTAAATACATCATAAACTTTGTTATTGGTATTACTAATAAATATATTATAAGAGACACCATAACCTGTACAGTGTCTATTTGTCTTAGATTTTTCTTAAGTTGTAAATTGAATTTATCTGAATGTAGCTGAAAACAATAACATTAGTAATAATAAATCTAACCAGGCAGGGTAGATCGATAATGGTCAAAAGCCCGTGCAAAAGTACTGCAGGTGATTTTCTCTGTTCTACTCTCAATAAAAGGTGTACTCTATACTTAATCCCGGCAATGTGTACAAGCAGTGCACAACAATAAATATCAAAAAGCAAATTAGGGTATCCAGGTAAGAAATATTCCAAAACTTATAAAGGCCACGAAGAAGACAATATTAATGCAAAATGCAGTAAAAAATTGTATGTAAAAATGTAAGAGGAATAGGAATATACCCTTAATCTGTCAGACAAGATTGAAGGAGTGACAAGCTTGTATTTTGGGACTTCACTGAGAAGCTTGTCATAGGTAGCTTGATCAAACAAAACCATGTTGTTTACCTTCTCCTTTTGTTTTCCCTTGCTCCACTTCTGCAAATCAATCACTAGACTGTTATATATAATTTATAATTAGCTTGAATAGTTTAACTGAGTCAAATGTTCATTAAAGGCCCGTAAAACATAACTAAAATACCAAAAAAAAGAACATCAAACTCTCAATATTTTCAGCTTCAAATAGAGGAAAGAAATTTAAAGCATACTAGCAACAGTGAAAATTCCTTCCTAATCTATTCATAGCAAACTAAACATCTGTTTTAGATTTGGATTTTTCCTAAATGAATCGAGAATAACTCTGCATTAAGGAAACTAGAAAATAAGGCATTCAACAATCTGACTTTAAGAAATTCTTATGTAAAATTCACATAATATGTCATCATAGACACAAAAAAACATAAAGAAGCTCCAGATTTGCAAAAACTATACAGACAGAACATATATTGAAAGTAATCAACTCCATGAATTAGATGCTAGATATTCTATCATGAACAAAGAATATAAAACAAAATTTGAACTCAACGTTACCTTCTTCTTCTGCTTTCCTCCGCCAGATTTGGCTGGCTTCGATGACGGTGGTGGAGCCTTATCCTTCTTTGGCGCCTGTCACCACACAGATCAATGAGTAACTTAGACAAACAAAGACGCCAGAAACAAAAATCAAAACCAGTATCCGTTCGGCTGCAGAGAAAGCACGTCGGAAATCCAGGTCCCGTTTTGTTGGAAATCTCCACCTCTTTCTCAACAACAAACAGTACTAAGAAAGACAGATGACACTTACCATCAGAGTGCTTTAGGGTTTTTTGATAGGGAGGAGAAGAAGGAGAAGCGGCTTAAAGTTCACGGAGACTTTCCTTCTGATTCGATTGTATATAGCGACTAGGGTTTGGGCCGTGCTTGGGTCTGGAAATAAAGCATCCTTAATCTAATTTATGCTGCAGGACGAACAACCCAATAAACAAAATATTGATATTGGGCCTTGAGCCCAATAAACAAGCCTAATTTATGCTTGAGTGGACGGTTCCATTTAGTGACCCATTTAAACAAAAAATAAAATAAAGTTTACTAGATGATTGAAAAATATAATAATTTCATGTTTTTAATTGTAAATTTCTGATGATATTTTAAAATAATTTCAAAACTTGAAATATAACGATAAAAAATTTTGTTGCATAAATAAAACTTTAAATTATATTTACTTATAAAAGATTATTCTATTTTTTGTTTCTAAATTTATATATAAATTCTTTTGAAATTCTTTTTACATGGTTTATACTATTATTTTCAAATCTCAAATAATATTTCATAATTACATATATTTTGGTATTATAATTTTGTTGTAAGTTTGGCCAAAATGTACCCTAATTTTAGTTTGGTCTTAGGTCCAAAAATTTTTTAATCGAAATTTTCATTCCATTCACATGCTTATTCAGTGTGCTATGGAAAAATTCGATATTGTTTACTATGTTCTGATTAAAATTTAATAATATAAAAAGTTAAAATAATGTATGTAATAATATAGATGTGTATTGTATAAATTACGTAAATATAATATATTTTTAACATTTAAAGTTAAAATATTAAATTAATATACTTTAAATAATTAAAACTTTTTAAGTAAATTCTTGCTCCACTTCGGTCCAAAACCAAATCAAACCAAAGTTTTAAAGTTCAGTCCAGGCTAGAGATACATTGGTCTGGTGTTCGGTTTTAAAAATTATTTCCATTTGGTTTCAATCTAGTGCAGTTCAGTGTAGTCTGGTCAACTCCATACAAATGCTCACCCTTATTATTTATTGTCTGAGAAGCGCAACTTTTGTGAGTAGGATAAGTCATGGTCTTACTTAATGGGTGTTCGGTGATTGTAATTTATGTTGTGATTTTTAAAAATGTTTTTAAAATAATAATTCAGTAAAAATGGCTTTTAATTAAAAATTATTTAATATTTAATAAAAATAATTGTAAAAATTATTGTATCATTTTAAAAGAGCAAAAATTGTATGTTTAATGAAAATAGATTTTGAAATTTTAAGTGTAAATTTTCATTAAAAATTAAAATTATTTTTTAAAATCTAGAAATTAAAAATATCATGTATAAACTTATTAAATTAAATTTTAACTTTAGTTGTTGCCAAAAATACTTTTATTTTTTATGTAGTTATAAAAATGTCAAAATATCTTATTTTACTCTTAATTTTTAGAAAATATTCAAATTGTTTTTTAAAATTTTTTTAAGTTTAAATTAATTTCCTATTTTTGAAAATATTCAAATTACATCATTAATTGTTATTACCCATCAAAATCGTCGGTATGTATCATATGTGTTTATTGGCATGTATGTGCAGGTACCACGTGAAAGCTTGGTGGTGGCAATGGTGGGCGCCTTCACCTTCAATGCAGCAAGTTAAACTTCATAGCTACGACTAACCAATATAACAACATATTCCAACATAAACCTAACCTGAACATTTCTTGAACATTAGCCGTTGAGGGGGAACGTATCAGATTTGGTAGATGACGAATTGTTAGGATTGACAAAGAACCCTTGGAAATCCTTTACATCATTATTTTCATCCTCCTTATCGGCATTCTCATCCGCTTCAAGAATGGGGATAAAGCGAGCATCAGTAGTTGACGTATTGACTCTTTATCCTTGTAGGTTTTTAAATTAGATGAGCTAGACATCATTAGTTGTTTAGAATCTTGCTTATTGACTGTTTTAAACAAAAATTCAGTGACTCTCTTATCTTCAATTTTGATATTCAGAGTCATTTTGACACTAATAAGACTCTTGCATGACAAGATTTTTATCGATGGTAAGGAGAGTGATGTTTTTATAAGTAGCGTTGTAAACGGAACATATTAGAGTGTCATGCTTCTAGATATGATCTGCCATACACAAAAAGCGAAAGGCATACAAGCATTCAACTACATAGATGATTATGCCATAATTTGCCTTCATGTTTGTCACATGCAATGACGTAGCATCTACATGTTATCTATTTATACATATCGGTAAACACATGTGACTATTACTTACGACTTTAATAAATGCTAACGATTAGATGTACAATTTGAATATTTTCGAAGATTGAGAATTGATTTAAACCCAAAAAAAGTTTAAGATGTAATTTGAACATTTTCTAAAAATTGAAAGTAAAATTAAGTATTTTGGTAGTTGTAAAAGAATTTTTCAAATGTAAAAGTCATAACAAAGAGTTACCACAAAAGGGCTTTATTCTCTTATTTTTTATATATGAGTTGGATATAAGATTCAAATCCGGAGTCATCAACTTTTCTAAGAAAGTATTATGTCATCTATATTAGATCCTAATGAAATTTATTTGATTGTATACAATGTTCATCCTCTTCTTCAACTACCTTATGTAAATAAATTTTTATTTTGTCTTGTAATATTATAATCTACCCTTCATAACCCTATTATATTTTATCCTATTTGATTACCAAACATGAGTTAAAATTATCTCAAATAATAAAGCAAATAAATACATTAACTTATAATTATTACGGAAAGTAGTTTTCACTACCTTCCTATGCTTACAATTTTTTTATTGTTAATTATGTCAAACTACATTCCTCATTCTCATTTGAGTCCACAAATGCACACTACTTTAAGATTCTAACATGTTCATATCAAATTCCTATTTCTTCTCTCTTTTACTTTTATATCATTTTTATAATAATGAATATTAAGTATTAAGTTACATTTGTCAAGAGAATGCCTCAAAAATTTTATATTATTCATTGACACATTCACTTTTAAAAACAGACTTATGTATTTCTTTTATCAACTTGTTCTGTCTAAGGGAAATTTCAATAAGTACGTGTGTGTGTGTGTGTGTATATTCAGAAATTAAGTGTAACAGAAGAAAATTCATGAAAATTTAGGTGATACTAATTTACCATATTTGCATTAGTCATTACAATAACTTAAACTCAAAAATAAGAAACAGTATTACTTGAGTTTTGTTTTTGTCAAAAAAAAAAGTGGTGGAAAACTACTAGCATCAAAATTCAGAACCCAATAAAAAGTAAATAGAAACTGCATACCCTGAACTATCCAGTTCGGGATATGAAGAAAATGCATCCTCTAGGTGTTAGTTGCCCTAGTGTAAATCTGCTGGCTAGCATGTGCTGATATCATCCTAATGGAACCTCTGGCCATCAGATCCTTGATTGCTCTGCGTGCAAGTGAACCACTAATCTGCAAAGCACAACAAAAAGAGGCTTACAAACCACATCAAAAGAGTTTGTATCATGTTGCTTAAAAGAAGCAGCATCACGCACATGATAGCAAGTGGCCTCCACAGAGATTCACGTTGGATTTAAAAACAGTAGTGTGTAAAGAAAATTTGATCAAATGCAATTTCTTGGGTACAGTCAGCAGAAACTCTCTCTTCGGTTATGGGGGAAACCCATACAGTAATTGCAAACTGAACCAATTATGTTAACCAAATCCAGTGTTAAACAGTAGAGAACACCAACTCAATCACGCAGGTTTATGGCTAGTCATCAGTGACCTATAGTTAAATAAAGTCATTACTTAAACAGATCATAAAATTTGTTATTGGTATTACTAATAAATATATCATAAGTGACACCATTAACCAGTACAATGTCCATTCATCTTAGATTTTTCTTGACATGTAAATCGAATGTTTTGATCTGAATGTAGCCGAAAACAATAACATTAATAACAATAAATGTAACCAGGCAGGGTACATCGATAATGGTCAAAAGCCCATTGACAAAAGTACTGCAGATGATCTTGTATATTCTACTCTCAAGTGTTCTCTATACTCAATGGTGGCAATGTGTACAAGCAGTGAACAACGATAAATATCAAAAGGCAAATTAGGGTCTCGAGATAAGAAATACTCGAAAAATTACAAAGGCTCGGAAGAAGACAATATTAACACAAACTGCAGTGAAAAAATTATGCAAAACTGTAAGAGGAATATACCCTTAATCTGTCAGACAAGATTGAAGGAGTGACAAGCTTGTATTTTGGGACTTCACTGAGAAGCTTGTCGTAGGTACCTTGATCAAACAAAACCATGTTGTTCACCTTCTCCTTTTGTTTTCCTTTGCTCCACTTCTGCAAATCAATCACTAGACTGTTATATATAATTTATAATTAGCTTGAACAGTTTAACTAAGTCAAATAACCATTAAAGGCCCGTAAAACATAACTAAAATACCCAAAAAAAAGAAATATCAACCTCGTAATATTGTCAGCTTCAAATAGAGGAAAGAAATTCAAAGCATACTAGCAACAGTGAAAATTCCTTCTTAATCTATTTATAGCAACCTTAACATCTGTATAGATTTGGATTTTTCCTGAATGAATCAACAACAAAACTGCATAAAGGAAACTAGAAAACAAGGCATTCAACTGCCTACTTTACGAAATTCTGATGTAAAATTCACATGATTATCACAGGGACCGAAAACATAAAGAAGCTCCAGATTTACAACAATTATATATACAGAACATCTACAGAAAGTAATCAACTCCATGAAATAGATGCTACATATTATATCATGAACAAAGAACATAGAACAAAATTTGGACCCAATGTTTACCTTCTTCTTCTGCTTTCCTCCGCCAGATTTGGCTGGCTTCGATGACGGTGGTGGAGCCTTATCCTTCTTTGGCGCCTGTCATCACACAAATCAATGAGTAACTTCGAAAAACAAAGACACCGAAAACAAAAATTAAAACCAGTATCCCGTTTGGCTGCCGAGAAAGCGTATCGGAAACTCGGATCCCGTTTGGTTTGAAATTTCCACCTCTTTCTCAACACCAAATAGTACAAAGAAAAACAGATGACAGTTACCATCAGAGCGTTTTAGGAATTTTTGACAGGGAGGAGAAGGAGAAGCGGCTTGAAGTTCACCGAGACTGTCCTTCTGATTCGATTACGTATAGCGACTAGGGTTTAGGCTGCGTTTCAGAGACCCGTTTAAACTGAAAAACAAAATAAATAAATAAATAAATAAAATTTACTAGATGACTGAAAAATATAATAATTTCGTGTATTTAATGTAAATTTCTGAGGATATTCTAAAATATATTCAAAAATTAAAATATAATTAAAATATTTTTTGTTGCATAAATAAAACTTTAAATTATATTTACTTATAAAAGATTATTCTAATTTTTATTTCTAAATTTGTATATAAATTCTTTTGAAAATTTTTTTACACAGTTTATATTTACTTAAGTAGGATATGATATCTCTTTCCAAAAAAAAATTATTCAAAAGATATATATTAACGTAGTCCTTACTTATAATATTCGGATTTGAAATTTGACCCAATATTAATTTTAAAATTTTAAAAAATTTATATATATATATATTTATAAAAATATAATTTTAAAATTTATAAATATTTATTTAATATAAAATTAAGAAAAAATAGATTAATGATCAAATTAAAAAACAATGTTAGAAAAAATAAGTGAAAATTTGGGTTCGGGAGATATTTTTGAAAGAAAAATAAAAAATTACTTCTGATGAGCCCCTTTCTAATTCTGTTTCGTGCAATTTTTTCACCATTACGTTCACCATTCTGTTTTATACAGATCAGTCGAATAAAAATGTCCAGCCGCAAAGGTGAGCCGGTGGAGCCGCCGCACCGGGAAATCCCGCCGCCGGTAAGTTTTTATTTTTTAATTTTTTTGGTCAACTAAAGCCCCTTAACATATTTTCTTGTAAGAATTTGTATAAAACCGATTGAAAACGGCCAGTCCGAGGCAAATCGCCGCTATGAGGGATGATGCCGTCGCCGGACCGCCGTGCTGAAATTCTGAAATTGGTTAAAAAAGAGTTTGAACATCAATTTTGAATTTTTTAGAATATTTTTATGTACGTGAAGCGTGTTTTAATCTCCTCAAAAAATTCAAGAAATCTGGAGACTGCCAATAGACGCAGTAAAAAGTTCAGCATTTCAGACACCGATTCGGGTAAGAATCCATCACTTTATTCTCTATTATGGAATTGAAGTTTAATTATAAATAATACAGTATTTTATGTAATGTTTTAACTGATTATTTGATTTTATAATTTTAAATGGATGATAATACACTGAAATTGGTAAGATGATTCAGTTGTGTATCCTTTATTCATGTATTGTTTGTTTTGTGTGATTTACAGTTAAAATTGTAAAACTGAAAATCAAATGTAAACGAAAAATTGATTTGTTAAGTGAATGAATAAATGACAATGTTACTATATATCCTAAAAAATGGTGGACAGACCGGGTATATAGGAAACACTACCGTTAACGTCGCCTCATACTGGACGAGATATCGATTATTGGTATTTTTGGCGTTTATACTGGATGGAGTATGGGAACGGCCCGTTTCACCATCATATCAGACGGGGTATCCATGATTGGTATTTTTGGCGCTCATACCGGACGGAGTATGGGGATGGCCAGTTAGTTGACAAGTTTTGATATGGGTTCATGCGTAGTGAGATATTTCTACGGACCCTCATAGATACTAGTAAGCAAATAAAAAGAGAATGTTGTTATTTTTGTTTACTTGAATATGAGATTATGATGTTGTTGAGC